TTTTTTTCTGAATTTTAAATATGGAGTTTTCTTTAATGATCAGCTTGTTTCTGAACTATATGAATCTTGAAATCTGTTCTTGCAAATTGTGTGTATTTATTTATGTTTGTTTGTTTCGGTTGCATATGTATATGTTCTGAGTTCTTACAAAACATTTGGGGTTGTTTTGCTTAATCTTTGAATGTGGGTCTTTAATCTAGTTTTGTTGGGCAGTTTAATAATGCTTGATTAACATATTTTGTTACTTGATCTGTCTGTAAAGTAGATGCAAGCTGTATTGTGTTATGCCTTTCTTGATGGGTTTCTTGCATATTCTTGATGTGAATTTGAAGAAATTTTTTAGTGTAATGTACGAATCTGTGCTATCTAAACACTGTTTTTTCGGCAAATATCTCCTCAATTAGCCGACTTTCTTCGTTATGTGTTCTTGGAATATCATGTTATGTGATCTTCAATGTGCCTAACTCCACTTTGCTGAGGACTTGCTCGTGTTTTGTCTACTTATATTAGTTTATCTAAATGCAATCGAATTTAACTAGCTCACATTGGTAGTCTTGTCCACATTTTTACAGTAGATTGGTCTGCGAATAATCTAAAACCATAAAGACACAAGAAGAGACTCAGCAGAGAGAAGATGAACCGACCGCTGCCATTAAACACAAAGGATTTGGATATTCCACTCCACACGATTGGGTTTGAAATTGACTGCCTTTCGCCTGAAAAGGTCTCGGGCCATGTTCTGATCACTGAAAAGTGCTGTCAGGTAGTATATATTTCTCTTAATACATTTAGGCAGATTACAATTATTACCACTTTAAATTTACCTCATAAAGCTGAGAGATACTATGTTTAAGAATGCTGGATGACATTATGGCAACTGTTTATATAAGGAGGATCGAACTTCGGTGCTGGTTTCGTAAGATTCAAAGTTAGTTTGATTTCTTTTCTTTTTTCTACGAGGTGAATTTGGCATTACCACAGTTGTTTAGTTTGCATAACAAACACAAAAGAATGTTTATGTGTAATATGTATGCATTTGTAATTTTTGAGAAAAATAATATTTCCTATGTCCTTTCATTTTCTTTTTACATTGTTGTTAAAAAAAACACAGTAATTAAGTCTTAATACGTGTGTGCACAGCCGTTCAAGGTGCTGCATGGAGGAGTTTCGGCACTAATAGCCGAGGCTCTAGCAAGCACTGGGGCCTACCTTGCTTCAGGCCTTCAGAGAGTAGCTGGCGTTCACCTCAGCATCAATCACCTAAAGAGTGCAAAGTTAGGCGACTATGTTGTTGCGGAGGCTACTCCCGTGAACATCGGGAAAAGTATTCAGGTAAAAATTTATAAGAATTAGTTACAAAAAAAAAAAAAAAAAAAAAAA